AAAAGCCAGGACCGCAGACAGGAAGACGTTTCGCCATTCACCACGGTCGCAGATCTCACCAACGCAGCGTGGAATGTTGATCAGCTAAACAGCCCGAATAGTCTTCCGATGGACATGCAGTTTGCTCTCAGCAACACTCTCCGCGCACTCGGTTTCACCGATCCTGCAACCAACCCAAATGTTTACAGAGACGTCAGGATAAATTGGGGCGGACAAGTACGCCCACAAGAGACTGTAAGATTCCCGCGCCAACCTTTCCCCCCCTTACCTGGCATGTTTCTTTTCCTGTTTCATTTTCATTTCGTTTTACAGAAAAGGAGAGGTAAAAAATCGACTGACAGCAAAAACTACAATTACTGATGATGAATGAGCGGCCCAAAACAGCCCTTCCTAGCAGCAGGCTACCACACCATCTTCGATCCGGACCAGGGCATCATCATCGCGATAAATGCCGTTTCCCCGAGAAGCGGCATAGCGAACAGCGTCGCGCGATTCACGCAACTTTTGACTGTTAATGGCGGCAACGCCGAAGCCGTGACACCATTGTTCGGCGGCGAGGACCCACGGACCCTTACTGTGCCCTCCCCGTCGCACTGGTCCGATGTTATCGCCATCGCCTACAACACGCTCTGCACGGGCACCTGTAATCCACAACAAATCAGGGGCGTTCTGATGTGGAACGTAAGTACCTACCCACTTTGCCTGGCTTTTTCACTGAGCCCTTTTTCTCTCCTTTCCTTTATTTTCTTTTTAATCAGGCTCAAAAGAAGTGGAAACCTGCATAGGCGCAAGGAACTAAGCTAACATATCTTTCTTTCTCTTTCTAAAAAAATTCAGATTGCCAACGTGGACACCATTGTAAGTGGAATCATTTTTTTGATCCTCAAAATAATCTTCCCCCCACAGCATAATACTCAATATACTACCTATATTGAAAACAAACTTTAGCTAACCATGTCCCGTCTTTTGTCCCCCGCATGGTTAGAGCGTCATGAACTCAGCGCTGGGCATGAGGCAGCGCGACCTGCTCAACACGTCGCCCACCGACCGCATCATCTTTACGGGGGACGGTATAGCCGGCTTTGGTCTGGATCAGCGGGGCGCGCTGGCGCTACAGGCGAGCCCCAACGGCGCGGGGGTGGCCTACATGCTGCTCAACCACGTCGCCATCTTCGGCAAGAAGAATGTCACTGAGATCCACGTGTTCAAGTCGGGGACGGGGTCTTCTGGGTTTCCGCTGCTGTTCTTCAGGATCGAGGACTAGCCGCCGCTGCCGACAGAGGATGGGGGTTCTGGGTCTGGGAGTGCTTAGAAACTGAGGGGGCTAAGGATGGTGAGCCGTGGGCATTCTGAGGCTATTCTAATTTTGTGAACTCGGAACATACCTAGCAACTGGAGTTATCGTCTTACACTCCACTCCGAATCTTCCAGATCGTCATGTAGCTGGTGCGACAGAATGGTCGGAAAATATGTAATTAGCCAATTGTCTCTTCCCGGTGTATTCATTGACGGAAAGGTAATGGTTGTATTGCAGGAAGGCATGACCCTCTGTGATCTGAAGACACAAAAGGCTGAATAGCCACCTTTTATAAGTAAGTTACACATAAATAACGACAGGAATAATGGTACTCAAAGTACCGATAGAGTGTGAAGACCTCTGTGGAATAAAAATAGAAAACCTTTTATCCGCGAACCTAGCTCGTTGCCTCAGGTCAAGATCATCTCGCTGACGCCGTCTATCAACCTCAAATAAACAACGTCAGAAAAGCTGCTTGTTCGAGCTGTCCAGCACCACACCCCCTGAAATTGTTCACACCACCTCAGCCGTTCGCCAGAACCCAGCCCGCTCCTTGCGCTTCACCAACCAGTTCCAGATCAGCCATATACCTACTGTACCAGTCGTCATGGGCAGGCAAATTTCCAGGAAGAAAACCAGACCTGGAAGTCTCGCGGCCCAGCTGTCGCCATTCTCTTCCCACCGCAGGATGCCGCTGCCAAACACAGTCTGTAATAAGCCCGGATGTGTGTCAGACAGGACAGGCGGCCAATTAAGTTGTAATTCTGTGGGGGAACATAGGGAGGCAATGACTGACATTACCAGGTAGTAGTAGTGTGCAAGACAAAAGGAATTTTGGAAAGAGGGGAAGGGGGCACATACAGCTAGAAATGTCCCAGGAAGAAATACCATGGTGAGAATAGTGATCGAGTGCATCGAGACAGTCTCCTGTTTCGTCTTTATCGCCAGGTGTTCCATCACCATGGCTGACCTGGCCGACTCATGTGCGCTTTGCGCAAAGTTCTCACTAGCGCGGATGTTGCGAAACTGTAAGACCATATTGAACTGCGATAGGATGCATGTTAGTTCTTGGGGTAGGATGGGATGGCTTTTTTGGGAGAACTTTGGGCAAATGAAATGGGTTGGACTTACTTGGACTTTTGCGCTCTCCAAGATACCGAGGATATTCCTCAGACGCGCTGCATTGTTCTCCATGTCCCGCACGAGCTGCCGCGCTTTGGACAGAAAAGCCGCCATGTCCACCTGGCATTCGTCGACATTGATATGAGACTTGAAGTCTGGCGACTCCAGCAAGTCACTATAGCGCGTTGTAATTTCGTTGATGACTTTGACGCTTTGGTCAATAACCATCAGGTAAGTGTTGATGTCGTCACCCAGCTGTACTAGGTTCTGGGCTTCATCCAAGTTGAACATTTTATCATCGTTAATGTTCATGCCCCACTTCTTTCTCTCCTGCCTTTTCTCCTTCTCTTCCTGGTTGTCTGCCGAGGCTCTCTCAGTACCAGTAAATAACCCTTTGTGCATTTTTCCTGACACGCGCTTGACAACTTGCGGAATTGCGTGAAGGCTGGAGAGCTTCGTCGATGGGCGAGACGATTGCTTTGATTCGTCGGTTTTTTGAATCACAAACGCCGTTGCATTTTGAGGCACCGCTCGAGCTGGAACGGGACCGAACTCGACTTTATCTATGTGATCCTTGACACGGGTATCGAAGTAATCGACGGCCTTGGGCCAGTTCTCGACACTCCAATGGAATATTATCAGGTGTATCAGAAGTGTAGCTGAAAATCTCCTTTCTGGAGTTTGCAATGCCGACGGCTGTAGTAGCGAATGAACCGGAATGGACCGTCTGAGTCTATTGCTTATTAAGTCGTTGCCTTTCAGGCTGATCCAGCACGCTCGCCCAGTGACGGGATCAAACGAGTGGTATGTTGCCGTTTGCCGTAAGGGCCATGGCCATTCCTGTGCGACAATGTCGTACTCGACGGAAATCAAGTTGAAGCAGTGCTGAATGCAAAACCCAGATCTGCCAAGATTCTGGAGTTCGAAGACGGAGTTTGATCGGTGGAGGCGGTCCTCGTGTCGAAATGCACTAACGGTTTCGGGCTCTGCCCGCTCTCGGAATTTGAACACCAGATCCAAAAATGGAGCCATTGTCTGGTGATGTGTTAAGATTCGCGATAACTGGTCTCTGGAGCAGCTCAATGAAGTCCTCGACGACCTCGAGTAGATGAAGCTGGACAAAACACTACAAGGTTAAAATGAGGGATCGCGAGATTGGAGAGCGGCATACTGACACAAATCTTGCAATAGGATCAGGCCTTGAGTCTGGCAGTAACTGCTCTAAGTCGACGTCATTAATTTTGTTTTTAGATTGGAAATCTGTGATTATGTTAGATAGGCACCGAAGTTGCTTGTAAAGGTCAGCTACCCCCCGCCGTATCAGCCTGATCCCAAAAGCAGATATTTCTCTTCCTGACGGCAAAATATTCGTGTTCTCTATTATCGTCAGACAAAGTTTTTCTGTATTCGTCAAGCTCATGTTGAAATTGCTCGGACTGGATGAGGTTGCACGGATAGTCTTTAAAGCTCTCACGGGCCCCCAAGAAGCGGTGATGAGCATCCGTGTTTGTTGATTGTTGCTCGGCCATGATGGGCAATTTGGGCGTTGATTACTAGGCTTAGATCGTTTGGAAATGACACATGCGACGAAGTATAGCTATGATATTGTGGATTGACACCATCATCTTTCTAGGGCTCTCGGAAGTAGAGATGTCGAGGGGAATGCGAAGTGAAAAAAAAAAAAGCACCAAAATCCAGGCAGGAGCCAGATTGAAAGAGCCACTCGCACTGGCAAGCCCCCGCCCCCCCAAATGTCGGCCTCACAAGCGGGGTTATCATTACACTGCATACCTACTTATGAGCTCCAGCGCACAATTTCCCCAACCTAAACTCCATGCTAAGAGTGCCGCAACTTTAGCCCATAAGGCAGATTTAAGATCCCTCGACCCATAAAGATCTAGGCTCGGGTTGATAGGACAGTCTGAGAGGTTGCTCTGCAATGCCGTGATTACACAGGCCAATCCGGCGGTGACAGTTGTCACATCATGCATTTGGCTTCTCGACCGCCCGCATCAGGACCAATCAATCCGCGGTGTCCTCCGACCCCCTCCTTCAGTTCCTCGACATTTTGTGGTCGCACGACATTTGCTCAAATCTGTCTTGGTTAGTGCTCACATCAGAACTGGGAAGACAAGCACCGCACTTTGTCCCCCTAGCTTGACTCCCTCGTATCATTGTCCAAGGAACTCATTTGTTTCTCAATAAGGAGACAAAAGGTAAGTTTACCTAAGTACATATGAAAAATTGTCTCAGGTGCTCAAAGACGCCCCTATGCCGAAAATGTGGACTGCCTAGATTTTAGCACATTAATGGCTTCTACATAAGGGCTGCTACGTAAATGATTACCTAACTCCCAGGCCGTTCAGTTAACCCACACCGACGGACAACCTAGTCACCTTCTCAAAAGGGGCGATCCTCGGAGTCGAGAGCGTCAACAATCCCCCTTTTTCATCCGCCCCACACACCGCGACCAAACCTTCATAACCCCACAACTTCAACTCCACCACACAATTGCAAATTTTCGCAATCCCCTTCCTCCCCTTGCACCTCATTTCCTGCTAACCTCTTCACCAAACAGACAGGGAAGATGGCCGAGCGGTTAAGGCGCCACGTTAAGGCTTCGAGTCTTTAACCAACATCTGATTCTCAGATTTCCGTGGTTCGAAAGAGCGTGGGTTCGATTCCCACTCTTCTCATTCATTTTTGGTTCAAGTTTCATGTTCAGCCACTGCTTCAACTTTCTCTCCAACCTCATTGGAATAGTATCGACACCATTTCAACCTCCATTTTTGCCCCTTTGTTCATATGTGCCAGCACCCATTCATATGATTTTAATGGTAGCATCAGGAACCCCATCAAAATCCATAGGTTTGTACCGGCCCGCAAGACCAACGCGTCTAAACGTCCCAGGCTCGTCGGCGCCCTCCCTTTTCAACACAAGACCTTGCACCCAGTGCCGATTAGGGTCCTTAGCTGGGAACTCCCAATCAGTCTCGTGGAACAAGGTGAAGCACTACACCCTGCCGTTCTCGGCGCCCTCTCCTAGCTCCTGCTCATCTTCCAGCGTATCAAGCGACAAACCTCTTATCTTCTCTTTTTCATCTGGCACATCAACACCCCGGGGCACGGATTTGTAGTACCACCAGCCACTTTTGGTCATCTCGCGGGAGATGTCGATGGGTATCAACTTACCTTTCAGTTTGATGGACCCACCAGGCAAAATCAGACCGAATGAGTCTGCACCTTTCGGCTCGCACTGGATCTCGACGATGGCGCAGACGCGGGTGATGACCAGCTGGGAGGGGAAGTGGATCGGCCCTGTGCGGGAGGCCAGGAGAAGGACGGGGCCGTGCTGAGTTCCCGCGGGCGGCGGCATTTCAGTGCGCAGGGCCGGTCTCGCGGGTCGGGTTCGGACCACCACCCCAACTGGTAGTGCAGGTCGAGCTCCCAGAGGCCCGCAAAGTACTGCCCCGGGGAGTATCCAGCCTGCATCAGGCTGGCGATGCCGGCGAGAGCGGGCAGCGTATCGCGGTGGTATGTGAGGCTGAGGTTGTTATAGTCGGTAACGATGTCGGCCCAGAGGCGGCCGAAGTGCACTGAGGATTTCTTTTCGTCCTGCACCCTGGGGTGGAAGTCGTAGAGTCTCTTTATCAGAGTGGTTGCGTTGATCTCTAGGGAGCTTGCGGGTATTTCCATGGACGAAGGATTCGTCGCTTCGACACTTTGGCTGATGATGGGGCCAGGGACGACGAGCCTTAGTTTCGACTCGCCGTGAACGGGATCATGGATCTTTCGGTCTTCTTGCGAGACCGTCTTGGCGTGATATGCCAGTTCAATGTCGTTTATCGAACTCGTCCAAGTGCTCTAGCCAGTGCATTCGCAATGATCCTGCGTCCGGCATTGGAAGAACATCTCGTTGTAAAAAAGCGTGGGAACTGTCCAGGAGTTGTGCTGGTGGTTGATGTCGTCCCTCGCAAATACAGTCAGCTGAGTGCCATCGTACGTATCAGAGAAGATTTTCTGACTCTTCACCCCGCGGGGGTGCAGAAATCCCTCATCACAGCTGGCAGCCCGGGTCGCTGCAATGGTGAGCTCGCACCCGCTGGATATGCCCGCCATCTTTGCCGCCTCCTCTTCCCAGTCCTTGTCGTCGTCCTAAATGATACACAGTGAGTCGATCCATAAATACTGGGCACCCAGCCACTTTGTGACTCGGATTACGTCTTGGAAGGACTGCGGTAGGGCATGCCAAGGTATGGATGTTCTCAGGGTTTCTTCGTCGGACGTTGTAGCTCGGAGGGGCCCTTTCCCTCCCTGTCCCCAGCAGTGACTGAGTGTCAGATAGCGGTGTTTCTGGGTGGCTGAGATGATTTTAGCTGGTGTATCATCATCTCCAACATCGACAAGCCTCTTCGGAAACATATTGACACCGCTGGACCGGCAGTCCTCGTGGTTATCATAGCAAGTCTGCAGCCAGCCACGAACCACTTCTTGTTGGGGCGCCGACAACGGATCCTGAGAGATGTGCGGCAGCGTCGGTATCCGCTTGAGGATGGAAGGAAATTCTTCAAAATGAGAAATGAAACGTCAGAAACCGCATCACACATAGCGTATTACCCCGCTGGGTAATTACTAATATATCTCATGGTCTTACCCAGCGGAGCGTACAAAACCGCAGTGAACAACTGCTTCCCAGTATTTCGACCCTTGAGCGCCTCACTGAATGGACAAGGTTTTGAGAAGCTCACTTGCTTCCACCGCAACCTCTTGTGTGCTCCCATTGTGAACGTCCCCGCGAGCTCCAACTCGAATAATGAGCTTATCTCTGGGCAAAGATTCCCAGAGATGGGAATGGGCCATGGCTGTGTTGTAAATTATAGTGCAGACTTTGCAACCGCGTAGTAATGCTCTGTCAGCAAAGGCCAGTAGGGTCTCGACGGCGAAGACCTGGCCTCCGGCACCCCATGTCATCTTGCCAAGTACGCGGTCGAGGCAGCCACAGACGTCGCACGACGAGTCGAGCTTCGGTTCTTCATCGATGCTTGCTGACATTTTCCAAACAAAAAGGGACAACTATTTCAAGTGAAAGACGGGACGGAAAACGTGTGGAGTTGGTAATGGGTTGAGGTGTGATAATCATCAAGCTTTCCGCGGATCAGATGAAAAGAATTGAACAGGCTGCTTAATTGTGCCCAAATGGAGGGGAAATGGCTACCTTCCTAGTCCAAGTTGGGTGACATGCAGCTGGATGCATGTGCTAGGTAGGACACATCTTGAGAGTGACATGGGTTTACGAGTGTTCGATATGAACCCACGTCTCACAAAATGGGTCTTAAAGATTCCGGTTGAGTTGAGTACAGCTTGTTTTATCACTAAATGAGGCTCCTTTTCCACTACTTTATGCCGACCTCCTCCTGTGGACTTCAAATTACCAGTGGTGAGGTCGTTGGCCTGAAGACGAACGCCTGCTTTTGTGCGGCAAAGCCATCACTATAACCGACCCGCACTGTAACGAAAAGGTAAAAAGAGACCAAAAATAATGAGACGAAGAGAAAAATAATGTACTACGTCCCATGTCGGATGGAAAATAGAAGAGATTGTTTTTTTAAAAAAGAAAGGAGATTAGATGAGGTCGTACCCGGAATCGAACCGGGGTTCCCGGAATCAGAATCCGATGTGATGACCGCTACACTATACAACCGTTTATTGGATGAAGGACCCTGCCGGAGAGGGGATAGAAGAAAGGGGCCCCCCCACTCCGCGTTGTGCCCCACACTTTTGCGCCACCCCTCTTGCCTCGGCATTGTGGTGAGGCTGTGGTCATCATACTGGCAGGAGCGACTGAGCAACTCAAACAGATTTTCCACTTAAGTGGCAAGTTGCAATCATTTGAACTTCTGCGTTGTAAGCAGTTTTTGCACTTGTTTCTGCCAACTCAGCGACATCCCCCATCGACGCATGAAGCCCTTCGTTGCTCATTTCCCCCCTCGTTCTCGGACAACGAAGTTGACATTATGTCACAAATTCCCGCGCAAGCAATGCAAACAATTACTGGCCTATGGTTTCATTGGATGTTTGTGCCGGAACAAACTCCGAATTCAGGCGTGCTGCCTAACGGTATTTTAGGTAGTCACCATGGCTGAGGCGGGCCGGCCATCATCTTCGCCGTTGGTTGTACCACGCGGCCAGGTGCTCAGATTCAGGCTTAAGCGTGCAATTTTGCCTCGCAAGTCATAGGTTCGTAGCACCCTCCCCGTCGTCTGCGGCCATGACGACCGACAGCCCAGTCACTACAAGACCTTGGTTCCGAGTTGACCATGGATAGCCACGGTTACATCTCCTTTCCAGGACCCATATCTCCTCCACTGAGTCTGGCACCCAGCATTAGCAACCGCCTCTCAGACCAGGGAGACCCTCGGCATCAATCGCAAAATCAGCATTGCAGCTGCCAACATACTGCTGTATTACAATCTACTGCCTCACCACCCGTCAAAGACCTCAAAGACTCATGCTCCGACGAATCTAACAAGCCCACTCAGAGATATCGCGCATCCCCCCACAGCCATCATCGGCAATGGACGACTTGGATTCTCGAGATCGGAGCTCTCTGTCTTTCCATCGCAGCTGCTGTGTCTGCCGCACTCGTGCTGTCCAGCTACAACGGGAAACCTCGTGAAGAATGGAGATTTTTCACATCCATCAACACTGTGATATCCATACTTGGCGTCATCTCCAAGGTGAATCTTGCTTTTGCAGTGAGCTCAGCTCTTGCACAACAAAAGTGGATCTGGTTCCGGGCCCAAGAGGATGACTTGAGGGTGTTTGAGAAGTTTGACGACTCGACTCGAGGCCCATGGGGGAGCCTAACGCTTCTTCTCTGGTCCAGAGCAAGGTACTGATTGAGCCACGGCCAGCTTTGTACTGTTCCATTGATAAACGCTAATCCAGACCTTAGGAATTTGGCAACTCTGGGTGCCTTTGTAATTCTCACGACACTTCTTGTTGACCCATTCCTTCAGGCGACCGTCTCTCTTCATGGGCAAAACGATGCAGTCGACCAAACTTCCTCGGCAACCCATCCGCAGCTGCCCGTGGCAAATGGCATCCACATCGGCCAATGGTTTGATGACCCTAAAGAGTCAGGCGATGGAGCGCTTTACAGCGAAGACGGACTCTTGTACAAGTTACACGGTGTTCTGCCTGATTTTGGCTTGACTAGCGCAATCTTTGACGGGTTCTATCGGACCTCGCTGGGCAACCGGTCAAAGGACCAGGCGGTCAGATTTAGCTGCGAGACAGGGAACTGCACCTGGCCGCTTTACACGACGGCAGCCATATGCAGCCGCTGCAACAGTGTGCCTCAATCCAAAATAGTGAAGTCGTCGGGGGCTACAAAATGGTTCACGGTGGCGAATGACCAGTACAGCGCCAATAGAACCAGCACGACCCCCTTGCCCTGGACAGCTTATAATCTGTCCTATGGTCATATCAAGCAGTGGGATGGGACGTACAACGCCAAAACACCGGTCATGATGACGGCGTTCATCAACACGAATTACGCTGCCTCTGTCACCTTTCAGCATTCCAACACGACATTTGCCTCCTTCCTCATCATGCGCGCGTCCGATGAGTTCTTATTCAAGGGCGTCAACTGGAACTCCACATGGCCAACTGTTACCGAGTGCGGACTGTACTT